AGGGGGCTGCCTTGCTCTCCAGCAGACGGGATCTGGCTGGGTGGTTGGTTTGGGCCTGGCCCTGGGAAGCCCTGCTGCCCCAGAAGCAGGGCAACTAGCATGGAAGCAGCCGGCACCAGCTCAGCAATGCAAGAGTTAACGGTGCAGGACAGACAAGGCATTACAGGCCCTGTGGGAATGTTTCCAAAAGGACTGGGATGTGCCAAATCACACAGTTGTCCCCACTCCTCTCCAGGAAGCACAAGAGACTTCATTGCGAGACAGCCGGAGACACTGGGCAGGAGCTGGCAGGGCCCGAGGCTCCTGGGAGGGAGGTTGCAGCCCAAGCCTGGCACAATGAGCGGGAGGCAGGCTGGGGGAATAGACAGGGTGAGGAGGGCATGCATCCCCTCGCTGCATTTCCTCAGCGTCCCCCTCCATTGGGTTTGAACCCTGCCTTTTATCCTCCCCAGTGCCAGCTCCAGGGATCCTGGCCCATGGGAGCAACCCAGAGCAATCCCCTACGTGAGCCTCCGAAAGGGGCAGAGAAAGCCCACTGGTGACTAGCTTTGAGAAGCGAGAGGAAGCGATGGTGGCCCGAGCCATGGGGAAAGCAGCGATGGATGGCCCAGAGCAGCCTGGGAGGTGGCCAGACCATTCTGGCAGTCTGGGCTGAGGACTCCAGCCCAACAGGAAGGCAGGCCAGTGACACGCCAGGCAGATATCCGTCAGGAGGGGAAAGAAATGGAAAACCAGAGGGTTGGGGAGAGAGGCCATTGATTCCATAACTGCAAAGGGACCAACAAGGCCCAAGAAAGGGCACTTCAGCTAGCCGGAGACCACTCACCCTCCCGGGGCAGGGGAGTGTTAATGGCCGCCAGAGGCAGACGCTGTGGGGGACTGCATAGGAAATGGGTCCAATTCCAGCAGCTACTGCCAGGACGAGAACTCATGTGAGCAGAGGGGCTCGGGCCGCCAGGGCAGATCGAGTAGCTGGCTGAGGAGCTCCCTGGACCATTAATGCTGATGTTCTATACATCTTGGAGCACTGGGGAAGTCCCAGAGGACAAGAAGGAAGCTAATGTGGTGCCAATCTTTTAAAAGGGTACATGGGATGACCTGGATTAAAGAATCTTGACATCTTTTTTTAGATAAGATTACAAGTGCCGTTGACAAAGATAATTATGTTGATGTAATAACCTGCTACAAGGCATTTGACTTGGCATTGCACAACATTTTGATGAAGAAACTAGAACGATACAAAATTAGCATGGCACACATTAAATGGATTCAAACTAGCCAGCTGATAGGTCTCCAAATATAATTGTGAATGGGGAATCATCATGGAGCAGGTGTGTTTCCAGTGTTTTTAATGGGGTCCTGTGGGGTCACAGAATCATAGAATATTAGGGTTGGAAGAGACCTCAGGAGGTCAACTAGTCCAACCCCCTGCTCAAAGCAGGACCAATCCCCAACTAACTCATCCCAGCCAGGGCTTTGTCAAGCCTGACCTTAAAAACTTCAAGGGAAGGAGATTCCACCACCTCCCTAGGTAACCCATTCCAGTGTTTCACCACCCTCCTAGTGAAAAAGTTTTTCCTCTTTGGAACCCCCTTTCAGGTAGTTGAAAGCAGCTATCAAATCCCCCCTCATTTCTTCTCTTCCACAGACTAAACAATCCCAGTTCCCTCAGCCTCTCCTCATAACTCATGTGTTCCAGTCCCCTAATCATTTTTGTTGCCCTTCGCTGGACATTTTCCAATTTTTTCACATCCTTCTTGTAGTGTGGAGCCCAAAACTGGACACAGTACTCCAGATGAGGCCTCACCAATGTCGAATAGAGGGGAATGATCACGTCCCTCGATCTGCTGGCAATGCCCCTCCTTATACATCCCAAAATGCCATTGGCCTTCTTGGCAACAAGGGCACACTGACTTCAATGTCCTTAACTACTTTCTCCTTCAAAATTTTTTCCAAGACCTTGCATACTACAGATGTCAAACTAACAGGCCTGTAGTTACCCGGATCACGTTTTTTTCCTTTCTTAAAAATAGGAACTATGTTAGCAATTCTCCAATCATACGGTACAACCCTTAATTTACAGATTCGTTAAAAATTCTTGCTAATGGGCTTGCAATTTCATGTGCCAATTCCTTTAATATTCTTGGATGAAGATTATCTGGGCCCCCCGATTTAGTCCCATTAAGCTGTTTGAGTTTCGCTTCTACCTCAGATATGGTAATATCTACCTCCATATCCTCATTCCCATTTGTCACGCTACAATTATCCCTAAGATCCTCTTTAGCCTTATTAAAGACTGAGGCAAAGTATTTGTTTAGATATTGGGCCATGCCTAGATTATCCTTGACCTCCACTCCATCCTCCGTGTTTAGCGGTCCCACTTCTTCCTTCTTTGTTTTCTTCTTATTTATATGGCTGTAGAACCTTTTACTACTGCTTTTAATTCCCTTTGCAAGGTCCAACTCTACTTGACTTTTAGCCTTTCTCACTTTATCTCTACGTGTTCTGACCTGAATAAGGTAGCTTTCCTTGCTGATCCCTCCCATCTTCCACTCCCTGTATGCTTTCTGCTTTTTCTTAATCACCTCTCTGAGATGCTTGCTCATCCAGCTTGGTCTACAACTCCTGCCAATGAATTTTTTCTCCTTTCTTGGGATGCAAGCTTCCGATAGCTTCTGCAGCTTTGACTTGAAGTAATCCCAGGCCTCCTCTGCCTTTAGATCCATAAGTTCTTCAGTCCATGTATTCTTTATTAATTCATCACGCAAATAGGGGGTTAACTGCTAAGGTAGCCCGGGAGGGGTGGGGGAGGAGGGAAGGACAAGGCCACACTGCACTTCAAAACTTAAAAACTTAAAAAATGTAAAACTTATTGAATGCCAGCCTTCGGTTGCTTGGGCAATCCTCTGGGGTCGGGTGGCCGGAGGCCCCCCCACCGCGTTCTTGGGCATCTGGGTGAGGAGGCTATGGAACTTGGGGAGGAGGGAAGTTGGTTACACAGGGGCTGCAGCGGCGGTCTGAGCTCCAGCTGCCTTTCCTACAGCTCAACCATACGCTGGAGCATAGCAGTTTGATCCTCCAGCAGCCTCAGCATTGAATCCTGCCTCCTGTCATCACGCTTCTGCCACCTTTCAGCTTCAGCCCTCTCTTCAGCCAGCCACTTACTCTCCTCAGCCCGCCACCTCTCCTCCCGGTCACTTTGTGCTTTCCTGCACTCTGACATTGTCTGCCTCCACGCATTCGTCTGTGCTATGTCAGTGTGGGAGGACAGCATAAGCTCAGAGAACATTTCATCGCGACTGCGGTTTTTTTGCCTTCTAATCTTCGCTAGCCTCTGGGAAGGAGAAGATCCTGTGATCCTTGAAACACATGCAGCTGGTGGAGGAAAAAAAAAGGGACAGCGGTATTTAAAAAGACACATTTTACAGAATAATGGGCACACTCTTTCACGGTAAACCTTGCTGTTAACATTACATACACAGCACATGTGCTTTCGTTCCTAGGTCTTATTTTGCCTCCCCCCACCGCATGGCTAGCCCCTCCCCCCCCACCCCCCCCCCATGGCTAACAGTGGGGAACATTTCTGTTCAGCCACAGGCAAACAGCCCAGCAGGAACGGGCACCTCTGAATGTCCCCTTAAGAAAAGCACCCTATTTCAACCAGGTGACTATGAATGATATCACTCTCCTGAGGATAACACAGAGAGATAAAGAACGGATGTTGTTTGAATGCCAGCAAACATACACTGCAATGCTTTGTTCTACAGTGATTCCCGAGTACGTGCTACTGGCCTGGCGTGGTAAAGTGTTCTATCATGGTGGGTGGAATAAGGCTGCCCTCCCCAGAAACCTTTTGCAAAGGCTTTGGGAGTACCTCCAGGAGAGCTTCATGGAGATGTCCCTGCAGGATTTCCTCTCCATCCCCAGACACATTAACAGACTTTTCCAGTAGCTGTACTGGCCGTGAATGCCAGGGAAAATTAATCCTTTCACATGCTTGCTTTTAAACCATGTATACTATTTAAAAAGGTACACTCACCAGATGTCCTTTCTCCACCTGGCGGGTCTGGGAGGCAGCCTTCGGTGGGTTCGGGGGGTACTGGCCCCAGGTCCAGGGCGAGAAACAGTCCCTGGCTGTTGGGAAAACTGGTTTCTCCACTTGCTTGCTGTGAGTTATCTTCAACCTCCTCCTCATCTTCCTCGTTCCCAAAACCTGCTTCCGTGTTGCCTCCCACTCCATTGATGGAGTCAAACAACACGGCTGGGGTAGTGGTGGCTGAACCCCCTAAAATGGCATGCAGCTCATCATAGAAGCGGCATGTTTGGGGCTCTGACCCAGAGCGGCCGTTTGCCTCTCTGGTTTTCTGGTAGGCTTGCCTCATCTCCTTAAGTTTCACGCGGCATTGCCTCGGGTCCCTGTTATGGCCTCTGTCCTTCATGCCCTGGGAGATTTTTACAAATGTTTTGGCATTTCAAAAACTGGAACGGAGTTCTGATAGCACGGATTCCTCTCCCCAGACAGCGATCAGATCCCGTACCTCCCGTTCGGTCCATGCTGGAGCTCTTTTGTGATTTTGGGACGCCATCATGGTCATCTCTGCTGATGAGCTCTGCACTCACCTGCAGATCGCCATGCTTGCTAAACAAGAAATTAGATTCAAAAGTTTGTGGGCCTTCTCCTGTCTACCTGGCCAGTGCATCTGAGTTGAGAGTGCTGTCCAGAGCCGTCACAATGGAGCACTCTGGGATAGCTCCCGGAGGCCAATACTGTCGAATTGCATCCACACACCCCCAAATTCGATCCGGCAAGGCTGATTTCAGCGCTAATCCCCTTGTCGGGGGTGGAGTAAGGAAATCGATTTTAAGAGCCCTTTAAGTAAAAAAAAAAGGGCTTTGTCATGTGGACGGGTGCAGGGTTAAATCGATTTAACGCTGCTAAATTTGACCTCAACTCCTAGTGTAGACCAGGTCTAAGATCTTCCGATCTCTTCACCCTACAGACCCTCGCTCCAGTCTTTGGCGGCATTGTTGTGGCGGGGGGGCAGAGGGGGTTGTCCTTCAGTGCCGAAGACCGGAGCGAGTCAAGGACGCAACTCCGAAGTGCTGCTGAAGACCCGGAGCACCGCCGGGTGAGTACCAGGGGGTGGTGCCTTTTTTTAATCTCCGCTCCCCCTGTTTTTTCCACCTGGCTACGCCACTAGGTGCGTTCCTTAGTACTGACTTAGCTGTGCTCCTTTCTTTGCCTTCACAGAAACATCTGCAAAGCCCCAATCCGCTGAACTGTCGCAGGTGGCTAGTGCTCCGGGGATCCAGATTGTTTGCACCAGCTACCAGAGTCCAGCGTTCCTGGCAGTGAAGAATTTTCAAAGCTGTTTGTGGCTTTAATTGCTCGGCCCTGGGCTGAGCTGGTGTATGTGATCAGATGCTGAGTGGGGGCTGAGAAGTGAAGGCTCTGATCTGTGAATTATATCCCTGTACCCCTTGCCTGGGGCCATTCCTGGAGCGGGCTGTCAGCACTTGGCTGAGGGAGGGCATGACGCCAGCTTCTCTTAAAGAAGTGATTGTTAGGCCTTGCCGAGGGAATGGTCTCTTTGAAGCTGAGGCTTTGTCCATTTGTCACTGGGTTTTGGATTGGAAGGACCCTTCGACTGAGGCAGCTTGTTGATAAGGTGTTGACGAGACCACTCTCCAGCACTCCCTGCTTTGTGGAGGGCGATTTGACAGCTCCCCAGGCCTCAGTGGACTGTAGCTGTCGGCTGTAGTGTTGCATGCTGAGCCCTTGTGAAAACGAGGCCATAGGTTGCCCCCGGCTGGGCATGGACACACGGAAGCACTCCGACTGACTGGGCTTTTGTGGAAACAGAGGCCTCGCTGCCAGGGTGAAGAGGGCGTTTTCACTAGGTTGGAATGAGATTTGGAAAGAGATTCGCTAGAAAAGGGTCTTTCTGAAATGCAGAGAAAATGGCTGATTAGCTGTTGTGCGCTTTGCCTCCCTCTTTCATGCTATCAGGGTTGGAAGGGACCTCAGGAGGTCATCTAGTCCCACCCCCTGCTCAAAGCAGGCTAGCTACAGACTTGACGGGAAACTAAATCGACGGGATGGTTTAGTGCACAGAGAACTATAGTAACCGAGGGAATTAAAAATCAGAGCGAAAACACCATTATGTTCCACTAAGTCATGAGTGCCTGTCACGGAACATGATGGAGAGAAATACATGCCAAGTGCCGCAAAAGACAATGTCATAAGCCAATGTATAAAATCCTAGAGCCCTGTGCTGTGTGAGTAGGATTATTATTCATCTGTATTATGGTTGCGCCTAGAGGCCTCCACCAGGATCACCCCCCTCTTGTGCAAGCCGTTGTGCAAACACACATAGGAAACAGTTTCTGCCCCCAAGAGCTGAGACTTTATGTAATCTCGCCTTTTGTCTTTTGGGTGCTGCGTCTTTAAATTCCTGCCTGCATGGGAGGTACAGCTGAACTATGGAGTCATTCCCCCACTCTCTGGCCCAGTGATTTTTCAAACAAAGTGGAACAGCTTCAGTGTCAGGGCTTGAGAGGGCAACGTACCCTAGCCTGGTGGTCGGGGCACTCAGCTGGGCGGTGAGAGAGCTGGGTTCATAGCCCTGCTCCACAGCAAGCAGAGTGGGGATTAGAACCTGGGTTTCCTATAGCTTGAGAGCGTGCCCTTCCTACGAGGTATAAACAGGGCCAGATTTACGCCTTACACCCCCCTAGGCACAGCATCTTCAGTGTCCCCGCCCACACCTGACCGTCATGTTTTCTGTAACTTTTAGGTACCCCTAGAACACCAGCGCCTCTAGGCACATGCCTACAGTGCCTACTTGGAAATCCGGCCCTGGGTATAGATGGGGGGTGGGCTAGGTGTGCTCTGAGCACCCACCTACTGGATCAGGCCCTGTGGGTGAGGGAGGCAGAGGAACACCTTGTTTGAGAATCCTGCCAGGGCTTAGGTGTGAGCCAGGGTGCTGAGCCGGGTCAGGAATGAGGCAGCTTTGTAAATGGGCACTGGCAGAAAAGCAGCTTCCTAGGGGACTTTGCCAGCAGGGATTTAGAAACCGGCGGGGTTTGGTGGCAGCTGAACGGGGTTTTGAAGATCTACATTTTGGACTCAGGCACCTAAGTCCCTTTGTTGCTCTAGCCCCTAGTGGCTCCAGGCAATGGGCTGCATGTGCTTTTCCCCCTGCAGTGGGACGCTGTAGCAGAGAGGAAATGCCCCCCACAGACAGACAGGTATCTTAGTGGCTGTGAGGGTACCACTGGGCTTTCAGTCACTTTTTAGCTTTGCTTCTCTTGTAGGCAAACAGTCTGTTTGGGCCGTTCCCAGGGGGCTGGAGTTTTATCTCGGTAACCAGATCCACTTGGGATCTAGTGGCTTTTACTCCCCCAGTGCAGGTGTGTCTTCAGATGGGAAGAGGACATTAAAATATCCACTAGCTGGGAGCAAGTTTTAGTTTCTACTGAGCATGGCTGGATTCAAAGGGGTGAGCGCCAGGGAATGGGCTCTGTACCCCAATAGCAAGGCACTGAGGCAGCTGGATCGCCAGAATGTGCTAGCATAGGAGAGGGCTCATAGCTAGCTAGCTAGTGCACGCTCAAAAAGACCTGAAAAGAACATTAAGGGTGCAAAGTCAAGCACTGGGGCATTAGAAAACGCCAGACTTAATGCTACCCACGCAACCTTAGTTCGGCTTCCATGCACGTATACAGTAAGACAGGCTTGAGCTGCAGGAGTGCAGACTCCATCTTCCCACGTGGATCAGCATGAAGGTTTGAACTTAAGCCTCTCAGATCCACAGCACAGTCCCCTACTACAGGAGCTAAAAGAGCAGCTCCTAACAGAAGTAGGCTGTTATCCTCTATGTAGACCAATTTCACAAGACAGCTGTAACACACACGTGACGAGTGAATCACACCACTATTTGCTAGCCAGCAACAGTAGAACCTTCGGTATCCAAAATCCTTTGTTCTGTTCCCTGCGCTGGGAGGGGAGTGTTGTTGAGGAGTTAGAGCAGCAATTAATAATAGGTTGGCCAAGTACAGGCAGCTCTGTGGGGTGGATTATACTTATGCTTGCAATATTAGAGATCGGGGGTCTCTTCCCAACTGACTTCATCTTACAGTGTGTGTAAAATTGGGGAGGGGGAGAGAGGTTGATACATGTCTGCCGAAGAGGGAGATCATAAGCTTTCCATAATATTAAGGGATGTGACCTACCCAGAGATAGTAACAGCTGAAGAGATGACTTAAACTCATGGTCGCTGGGCTCTTAGCTCTGTGCACCTTCCCTGTGTCATGTTTCACAGCGTGTGCACACGCACGCACACACACCCCTTAGATAAAAACATAAATACTCTTGTGGGAAGGTTGCAACGTAACATAACTTTAGTTCGTAGAATCCAAAATGATAACACCCAATAATTCAAAACCAGAGAGAGATGAAGCAGGCTGCTCCCTAAGGCAGGCAGAGGCACAACTCAACCCTCCTCACTCTAGGGTGTCTGGCCCAGGTCGCATGCTGCCCTACAGAGTCCTCCACCTGCAAGCAGGACCTGCAAAACCCCAGAGAATTTAAAGTGATAGAGCAGAATTCTATCAAAATTTTCCATACACCATACCCTGAGGCTATAGAGACCTGTCTGTGCACAGGGAGAATCATAGAATCACAGAATATCAGGGTTGGAAGGGACCTCAGGAGGTCATCTAGTCCAACCCCCTGCTCAAAGCAGGACCAATCCCCAACTAAATCATCCCAGCCAGGGCTTTGTCAAGCCTGACCTTAAAAATCTCTAAGGAAGGAGATTCCACCACCTCCCTAGGTAACCCATTCCAGTGTTTCACCACCCTCCGAGTGAAAAAGCTTTTCCTAATATCCAACCTAAACCTCCCCCACTGCAACTTGAGACCATTACTCCTTGTTCTGTCATCAGCTACCACTGAGAACAGTCTAGAGCCATGCTCTTTGGAATCCCCTTTCAGGTAGTTGAAAGCAGCTATCAAATCCCCCCTCATTCTTCTCTTCCGCAGACTAAACAATCCCAGTTCCCTCAGCCTTTTCTCATAACTCATGTGTTCCAGTTCCCTGATCATTTTTGTTGCCTTCTGTTGGACGTTTTCCAATTTATCCACATCCTTCTTGTAGTGTGGGGCCCAAAACTGGACTCAGTACTCCAGATGAGGCCTCACCAATGTCGAACAGAGGGGAATGATTACGTCCGTCAATCTGCTGGCAATGCCCCTCCTTATACATCCCAAAATGCCATTGGCCTTCTTGGCAACAACGGCACACTCTTGACTCATATATAGCTTCTTGTCCACTGTAACCCCTAAGTCCTTTTCTGCCTAACTGCTGTCTAGCCATTCGGTCCCTAGTCTGTAGCGGTGCATTGGATTCTTCCGTCCTAAGTGCAGGACTCTGCACTTGTCCTTGTTGAACCTCATCAGATTTCTTTTGGCCCAATCCTCTAATTTGTCTAGGGCCCTCTGTATCCTATCCCTGCCCTCCAGGGTATCTACCTTTCCTCCCAGTTTAGTGTCATCTGCAAACTTGCTGAGGGTGCAATCCACGCCATCCACCAGAACATTTATGAAGATATTGAACAAAACCGGCCCCAGAACAGACCCTTGGTGCACTCCACTTGATACCGGCTGCCAACTAGACATGGAGCCATTGATCATTACCCATTGAGCCCGACAATCTAGCCAACTTTCTATCCACCTTATAATCCATTCATCCAGCCCATACTTCTTTAACTTGCTGGCAAGAATACTGTGGGAGACTGTGTCAAAAGCTTTGCTAAAGTCAAGGAACAACACGTCCACTGCTTTCCCCTCATCCACAGAGCCAGTTATCTCGTCATAGAAGGCAATTAGATTAGTCAGGCATGATTTGCCCTTGGTGAATCCATACTGACTGTTCCTGATCACTTTCCTCACCTCTAAGTGCTTCAGAATTGATTCCTTGAGGACCTGTTCCATGATTTTTCCAGGGACTAAGGTGAGGCTGACTGGCCTGTAGTTCCCCGGATCCTCCTCCTTCCCTTTTTTAAAGATGGGCACTACATTAGCCTTTTTCCAGTCGTCCGGGACCTCCCCCGATCACCACGAGTTTTCAAAGATAATGGCCAATGGCTCTGCAATCACATCCGCCAACTCCTTTAGCACTCTCGGATGCAGCGCATCCGGCCCCACGGACTTGTGCTTGTCCAGCTTTTCTGAATAGTCCCAAATCACTTCTTTCTCCACAGGGGGCTGGTCACCTCCTCCCCATGCTGTGCTGCCCAGTGCAGTAGTCTGGGAGCTGAATCAATTCTGAATACTCTTCCCTGGTCATTTGTCCAATCTTCCACTTCTTGTAAGCTTCTTTTTTGTGTTCAAGATCAGCAAGGATTTCACTGTGAAGCCAAGCTGGTCGCCTGCCATATTTACTATTCTTTCTACACATCGGGATGGTTTGTCCCTGTAACCTCAATAAGGATTCTTGACAATACAGCCAGCTCTTCTGGACTCCTTTCCCCCTCATGTTATTCTCCCAGGGGATCCTGCCCATCAGTTCCCTGAGGGAGTCAAAGTCTGCTTTTCTGAAGTCCAGGGTCTGTATTCTGCTGCTCTCCTTTCTTCCCTGTGTCAGGATCCTGAACTCGACCATCTCATGTCACCGCCTCCCAGGTTCCCATCCACTTTTGCTTCCCCTACTAATTCTTCCCGGTTTGTGAGCAGCAGGTCAAGAGCAGCTCTGCCCCTAGTTGGTTCCTCCAGCACTTGCACCAGGAAATTGGCCCCTACACTTTCCAAAAACTTCCTGGATTATCTGTGCACCTCTGTATTGCTCTCCCAGCAGCTATCAGGGTGATTGAAGTCTCCCATGAGAACCAGGGCCTGTGATCTAGTAACTTCCATTACTTGCTGGAAGAAAGCCTTGTCCACCTCATCCCCCTGGTCCGGTGGTCTACAGCAGACTCCCACCACGACGTCACCCTT